GCCGCGGTACTCATTTTCACAAAGAAATACACACAACTGGTTAGCTAACAATATGCCAATACACCTGGGATGGAAGGTTCAATCACGTTGTTGCCCAGCAAACGTCTGTACTGTATGGGAGGGGGAGGGGTGGTGCGCTACTGATGTACTGTGTAGCGGATGACGATGAGACATACATAATAAGACTAGGGCTAGGCCCAGGCCTAACTAGACAGTGCAATAATATGTGATAGAAAGTACACTTTCGAAAGAAATAAATTAAAATAAAATAAAAAAAAACAAAACAAAAACAAATAACTAAGAATAATTCAGTTGCAGAGGTACCTTGTACGTATTATACAATGCTAACAATACGGCTCTTGTATCCCTAGCTAGGGCAAGGCATCCATGTGCAAAGCAGTGGTGCTTGTTTTTCCATGAAAAAAGCACGCCGGGATAGTTTGCCTTACCAGGAAAAGGTGACGTAATCTAGCTTATGACGTATGCATGCTATTGTGCGTGTGACGTCACAAAAATATATTTTTTTTTCTTTTATAACCAAAATATTAATAACTACAAGGTTTCTGGACGTAAATTCCCTTAATACGAATTAAGGGTTGCACAATCTCCTTGCCATACAAATTACAGCTCCCACTGACATCTCAGCCGAGAAATACGGGTAGCTGAATTTGTTCTCGCAAATCTGACTACGAAACCATATCCAAATTTCACGTTCCACTTTTGATCCTGATTTGTGCTTCGCACTCGCCGCTGAGGGCGGCGTTCCGGGAGCCCTGCGTCGAGGGCGCTATTTCCGGTGCAAATGTGATCTTCCATTTGTTGATAAATCGTCCTGAAAATCGGTTATTTATAGAACAAGAATGTGCGCTCTCTACGCTCGCTTACCATCTAGTTTTCGATAAAAGAGAATGACAACTAAAACAAAAGGTTCCATGATGTATGTTATTAAGTACGCCATTCTGTCTTTGTCAAGACCCCTTTTAATTGTATTGACGATGAACGATGTGTAGACCTATTGTTAGCGCCGATACTTGTGATGATGTGTAATTGCGGTAAAACGTTCATGTAATATATTTTAATCTTTAAGTGTTGGTTCTGGTTTTTCTTCTTCAGTTCAGGTATTCTTGCTTTCTTTCTTTATATTTCTTTAGGGTTTATTATTTATCTATTTATTTATTTTTTTAAATTTATTTACCATTTTAAACAAAAAAATATATATGGAGATTTTGTAGGCGAGTGACTTTTGACGGTTATTGCCAGTGGAAACATAAATGCCATGTATCTAATTTGAATCAAATTGTATCTTGTATTAAGTATCAATCTGTACGCCTATTGTTTAAATAGCATATCAAATGCAGCTAATTCGAAAACTAAATAGTACTGCACTACCATAGACAAATAGTGTTCTATTTACTCTATGGTACCGTATGTACTACTTACTGTATTACAGTTTTCTATCAATTTTGAACAGAATATTTCCAGCGCATAAAGAAGTAATTCAAACAGAACTCAATTTATGCCTACCACCGTTGCACATTGAAAGGTTTAAGGTTTTGAAACTGGTAATTCGATTATAGTAAAGTCACACAGCATGAATCCAGAGGTTTATGTATTTAGTATTGTTATCGCAGTAATTTGTAAATTCTAACACTGCAAAATATACACAGCAAACACAAATGATCTTATGAAGTTTCAATTCAATTAATATTTATTGCATTAAGTGAACTCTGATGATGATAATATAAATGCCATATTTTTGTCCAATTTTACAAAATATGTATCTTTTAAAAATGCATTACACAGTTTAGGCCTATACAATAAACATTTAAAAACATATTGCAGTTAAACCTCCATGAGCGACCACTTTTCAGAAGCCCGTTTAATTTAGCTTATTACTATTTTTTGTTTTTGCATATTTCTCATTAGGATTAGTTTCAGCAACTATCTATTTTGCATATCACTTACGCTGATGAAGTCCACAGGAGTGGACGAAATATGCGTGTTAAATAAATTTTGTTCCAAAAATACGTCAACTTAACTTTGGTTTTGGCACCACTATATTAATTATCGAACAACGTGCATATATATATATATATATA